AAAGATGTTTTTTCACAAGGCAACTGGACTTCCTTGTTTTCTTTGAAGACATTTTGCTTCTCATCCAAGAAGTTTCTTCAGCTTTGACTGGATGGTGAGGAATGGAAGGATTTATACTCCTTACAGACAGCTGGTCATTTGCATTCTTTTAGAGGCCATCTGGAGATTTATCTGTGTAGTCAGGGTCACCTGAGTACTGCAAATGGGTGTGGAGCCTTCTTGGGACGGTTGAAAACACTGTGTTGTAGAATAGAGATAAATGATGTTGTATCCCTCCCCCAAAGCCTCAATACTGAAGTTTACAGAAAACCCATACACACAGATCAGTATTTACATTTTGATTCTCACCACCCACTGGAGCACAAAATGGAAGTTATCAGAATCCTTCAACACCAAGCTGAAGGCCTGTCCACCAGCAAAGATGGGAAAGAAAAAGAACTAAAATACATTAAGGAAGCCTTCAGAACTGGTGACTATCCCAAGAGGGCCTTATCCAATCCCCCAAAAGACCCAGAAGGAGCTCCTCCATAACAGTCAAAGAAGAAAACAATAAATGAAGCAATGTAGTAATTCCGTACGTTGCAGGAATATTGGAAAAGCTCAGGAGGATCTTCATCCAACACAACATACGTGCACACTTCAAACCCAAGAATACACTAAGGCAGAAGCTTGTCCACCTGAAAGATAAAACACCAGGACACAAACTGAGCAATGTGGTATATGCAGTATAACACAGTGAGCCGTATGCAGATCTGTACACTGGGGAAACAAAATAACCACAAACACATGGCACAACATAGGAGAACAAACCATCAGGACAAGATTCATCAGTCTATCTGCATTTAAAAGGCTACTCTTTCGAAGACAGCAAAGTCCACATTTTGGACAGAGAGGACTGCTCGATTGAAAGAAGGTTCAAAGAGGCCATCTATGTCAAAATTGAACAGCCATCTCTCAACAGAGGGGGGGGGGAATATGACATCATTTATCTCTAGTCTACAACACAGACCTTTCAACAGTTCCAAGAAGGCTCCACACCCATTTGCACTACTCAGGTGACCCTGACAACACAGATAAACTCCAGGTGGCCTCAGTGACTCTCTGAAAAAATACAAATGACCTGCTGTCTGCAAGGAGTATAAATCCTTCCATTCCCCACCATCCAGTCGGAGTTGACGAAGCTTTTTGGATGAGAAATGAAATATCTTCAAAGAAAAACAAGAAAGTCCAGTTGCCTTATGAAAAAAACATCTTTGGGATAACCAAGGAATATGCAGGAGCATTATCCAGCACCAATCTATAGATATTAAACAATAAGGATGGAAGCTTGGAAGATTCACCACATATCATTCTTGGGTTTGGGTTTGACATCAATCTTGTCAAACTGAGGATTTGACAATCTGCATCTACAATATACTCTGTGAACTGTTAGCAAGAGGCTGTCTTCATTCTCTTTCTCTCACACATAATATCCAGGCTGAGTTTCCTCTTATCCTCTGGGATCCACTCCCTCCGTCCTGAAAATCCACCTGCTTACTATTTAGTCCTTCTTTCATTGCATATATACCTCAGTTTTCATCTCAAAAAAAGCAACACACATAAACTACAGGCAGAACGTCAAGCACACTATTCTGGCTGCCATCTTGACTTTTTTTATCACAGATTTCCTCATGAGCAATCCAAGTGGCAATGCTTCAACACAGGTTGTGTTGTCATCAGAGGATTTTGTATCAGAGTTTCTAAATGGATTAGGCCTATTGTCTTTCTTTGATTTGTGTGCCTTTAGACAGGCCTTTCTTGCTTTGAGGATATAATGGCATGATTTTGGCTTGTGTGTGTGTGTGTTTTTGTATGCACATTGTCTTCCTGTTTACTTAGTCTTAGCTGGACCTCTTAGGCCCTTTGTACATATTTTCTCCCTCCAAGACATGTCATCTATCATTATTCCCTATGATTGTTATTTCTGAGTGCTTTAGGATGAAATAGGCACCAGGCATTCTTTTTTTTTTACCATGGCCTTCTTTGACTCCTCCTTCCCCGACACACAACAAGCTTTCATCTGAAGCATTCTGAGACCCATTAAACTGAGCAAAGCTGTGGTTTTCAGCTGGGCACTGCCTTTTGTTCTCCAGGCTTTTGAGCTCTTCTTTGTAACAGTCGAGTGTGCTTGTGGCACAGCATTTTTAGAAAGGGCACAAGCCACACAGAATGGAGGTAGAAAGGTGCCACAATACGACCATTGAGAAGAATGTGTCTTTCTGGGCATTTGATGAGGCAGACCCTAATCTGAAGACCTTCAAAGCCATGTTTTTTCCTAGAGAAAACAGCACAGTTCATCCATCAGGCCAACAATGTGCGTCAGACAATGCTTGTTCCTAATTTGTCACACACTGCTTTTTTTGTCTTCTGGCCTCACAAATTATTGTTTTTGCTAAGATGACCTGTCTTTCTTTTCATCTAGCAACAACAGCAACCTTTTCGGCAGGCTTAGTAACAAATGGAGAGAGAAGGAGAACGATTCTTCCTTTCCTACTTGGAGAACACCTATATTAGGCTACTGAAGATTTTTGCTCCAGCTAGTCATTTCAAGAACTGTAACTTACCTGAGCTTCTGTTTTTCCCCTCCTTCTTGATCCCATTTTTTCCCACTGCATTCCAACTACTTGCCCATGGTTAACCTAATCAAGGGTTACTCAAAAGGGCTCATTTGCAGGTTTGAATGACACTGAACTATAAAGTAGTTTCATACAAATACAATCAAATAGTTTAAAGTTTGGTGTGTCATGCAAAAATCCCTGTTGTAGGTTCCATCTTTTTGGCTGTTAAGTCTGAGGGCAAAGAAGGGCATATTATTGATCTGTGTGAGTCACTTCAAGAATTTAATAAATGCTTTAAATAGCTGGTTATAGGCATTCTTTGCTGGGGTATGTTGAAACAGAAGCTAGACAGATATCTTTCAGCGATGCTTTGGGATTTGAATTCCTGTAGTGTTCAAGAGTTGAACCATGCAGGGGGGAACAACCTGTGTAAGTGACAAAATATGAGCCATGACATTGTTATTTACTTATTTAAAAGATTTATATGACCACCCATCTTAAACCTAACTCTGGGCAGGTTACAACAATACAATCTAATAACTATAAAATCATAAACTATAAAAATAAAAATCTGGCTCCTCAGTAGTCCTTTTGGGATGCCCTACAGCCAACTCCAGGTATCCTCATTCTATTCCAGAGCTTGGGTAAAAAGCCATTATCTTGATGACCTTTTGGAAGGATAAGAAGGTGAGGACCTGCCAACTCACTGAGGGGAAGGTTTTCCATAAAGTATGGGCAGCCACAGAAAAGACATGCTTCTAAGATCCCACTAGGAGGCAAAAGTATAGAGAAGGAACATAGAGCATACTTACCCTACTTTATCCGATCTGGTAGGACAGGCAGATACAGAAAGATGGTCCCACATCATGATCTAATGAATGTGAATTCCCTACTTGAGTTGGACATTAGGGATATCTCCCCATAATGCTTTACAGCACTCTCTGGGCAGTTTACAATGTTAGCATTATTTGCATATTGCTCCCAATAATCTGGGTCCTCATTGTTCCAACCTCAGAAGGATGAAAGGATGAATCAATCTGAGCCCTGTCAGGATCAAACTCCAGGCTGTGGACAGAGTTTGCCTGCAAAACTGTAATTTGCATCATGACATCACTGTATGTGTGCCAGCAATCCTAATTGGATGAAGACACCTGTGATTAGACTTCAGTGCTTAACTCCATGATCTTATAATTCTAATAAGTAAGTAAGCAAGTAGAAGGATGTAGGAATTAAGTTGAGGAAGAGGTTGAATTTGCTTCTGCAAGACGCAGTTTGCCTTAACAAGGAACTCTGTGTCACTTGGATGCCTCTTCTGGCTATAGAAACAGGTGGAGGAGCACTTAATAGAGAGCAGTACAGCTGCTTTGCTTTTGCTTTTAGCAATAGCAGAGAGTGTTGCATTGCTTTTATTTATTTTATTTATTTCTATTTCATATTTCTAAACCACCCATTTCCCTCAGACTGCCTTTTTGTTGGACTGCTTTCAATTGAATGTTTTTGTTGAATCGCCATCGAATATCAAAACTTGCACAGCCTGAGTAGGAACAGCAGCATGAATTCAGGGAAAGAAAATAAAGGCAATGTAAGAAAATAAATCTTATGAGGAAAGTGTGAAGGGACTGGAAGCAGAGCCAGTAGCTGGAAAAGAAAAGGAATACAATATCACCCTCAAAAGCCTGAAGGTTTGTCATGTAGGAGAGGGCAAATGCTCCTTTTCAATTTATCCAGAGGACAGGACTAAATTTAATAAGCTCAAGTTACTGAGAAGAAGGATATTGACAGTAAGAGCAACTTGCCACTGAAACCAATAACCTTGAATGGTGATGGTTCTCCCTTTGTGGAGCCCTTCAGGTGAAGGTTGAACAGGCATCCCCTGAAAACTAATTTGTACTAGAGTCTCCTTGCCTGTGTTTTTTTTTCTTCCATAAACAGTTATTGATTCTTTCATTAGCATTGTATCTATACCATTCAAAGATTTTGTAGCTGTCTAGGATTCCCCCTCCTCCTGATCAGTAAATATATGTGAAATGTTACTGAGCTAAAACATTCACACTGCTTGCAGGTAAGGAGAGGCTACTAGTAGCTCAGACATATAAATTCAGGGCCATTTCTCACAATACAATCATGTTGGAATTAGTGATAGGGCTGTGCACTACATTGATGAATGGAGAATGGTATGAACATATATCTGGTCTGCAACACATTTAATCAGCTATATGGTCCTGGGAATTGACATGGTTGTTTTAATGAGTTTCAGGCAAGAGATTATTTTAGATCCTCATGCACCTGAAGATATATTTTAAGAACCGAATTCAAAATGTTACCTTGCCCTATTCAATAATATCTAACTCTTTATTATTAATGGTGAACCAGGAGTGATTTATCATTGTGGTCTGTTTACAGCCTCTCCTTCAATCAAGCTTTTGGTGGATGATCCCATTGTGGTGAACCCTGGAGAAGCCATCACTTTGGTTTGTGTCACAACAGGCGGTGAGCCACTCCCAACCCTAACCTGGGTAAGATCTGTCGGTACTTTACCTGAGAAGATAATACTGAAAGGTGGGACATTGACCATCCCTGCTATCAATTCTGATGATGCTGGCACCTATAGCTGCATTGCCAACAACAATGTGGGGAATCCAGCAAAGAAGTCCACCAACATCATTGTCCGAGGTAAGAGTTTTCTTGGATTATACTTATTTATCATCAGATTAACTAGCTGTGCAACAATTGGACTGGATTTTATTATGAATTCCAGTCCAATTACATGATCTTAAGTCTTTTAATCTCTTAATATCATGTACTGAGCCGTGGTGGCACAGTGGTTAGAATGCAGTATGGCAGGCTAATTCTGTTGACTACCAGGGGTTCGATCCTCACAAGCTCAAGGCTGGCTCAGCCTTCCATCCTTCTGGGATCAGTAAAATGAGGACCCATATTGTTGGGGGTAATGTGCTGACTCTGTAAACCACTTAGAGGGGGCTGTAAAGCACTGTGAAGTGGTATATGAATCTAAGTGCTATTGCTAAAGTGCTATTGCTAATAAACCCTTCAACTTCTTTTTACTAGAACATATTCATGAGAACAAATATGCAGTTACATTTTGAAGGTTTTTTTGTTTTGTTTTTTTAAATGTCTATGTACATAAGTGATGTTGTTGATTTCTGCTTACTTATAGAGACAGATTATCCACAAAGAGTTGTGTTTGCTAACGCAAGAAGCTGTCATACAGGTCTACACTTTGGTTAGATCTTGTCCAGATTGTTCAAACATGCTTCACCTGAGACTACCTCAGATAAGACTGCTAGCTGGTGCAAGGTAGAGGGATCAGATATTGAAAGATTTGCAGTGGTTGCTAATTATTTAACAGGCACAATTTAAATCTGTAAGTGACTTGAACTGACCATCCAAGGGAACTTCTTTCCCATTTGAATTTGTCTATATGTTAACCTGCAGGGAAATCTTCTAAAAAATACCCCTATGACAAAATTCTATCCAATGGAAGGCACCCCTTCTGTAAAAATGCATCTCTTTGCTAGACATCCAATTATTAATCATCTTTAGTATTAATTTTTAAAGAATCGTGTTATTCTTTTTGCTCTTTTTAATGGAAAGGTAGGGTAAATTGAATAGGTCAATAATACTGTATATCCAAGGCTATTTGAGCCATATCATCTGGCAGTAGCCTTCCAAGATTTTAGGCCAATGTTTTAGTAAAACTACTAGAAGATGATGAAGATTGAATTTGATATTTTCTGCATGGAGAGTATATGCACTATTATGTTGCATCACTATGGCCAATATGTTCTGGTTGATATTTTAATTTTATGGAATCTTCATACTCAGGTTAACATAATAAGCAACAGGATTTGGTTGTTGCTGTTGCACTGATATGGGGGTGAACTGCAGCTTTCTCATCTAAGACCAACAGATCACTGCAAGGTTGTCCTCCAGACATTTTTTTTCCCTCTCTTGCATGAAGGCAGTTTAACAACATCAGCTTTAAAGCATTCCTGGTTTGCTGTCTTACAAGCCTGAAGTTGGGGTTACTTGCCTGCAAATTTTATAAGACTATTTGAAAATATTTCTAAAGTAATCTGCAGGGGATTCTTTTTTCCCAAAGTGATCAAGATATGGTTTCTGCTCTTTCTAGGTATTGTTTTATGCCATAATACAGCAGCATTTCATTTTTTTTACTTTTCTCATTTTTGTAGACTGTGTGATTGTGCTAAATATGTTTGTTCCTCACCTCCATCCCACTTGGCACAAAAGCAAAAACACCCTTCATGATGACTCTGCAACGAGGCACTTAAGGCACTTAATGGCAATGTAGATTTATGCAGTTATGTGTTCTTCTCTCCTGTTATGACTATTTCATGCCTTGGAGTCTCCTGATTTTCTCTTTCTGCCCTGCTACCCCCATCAACTGGGAAGTAAATTGCATGCTTAGGCCTCTGGCAAGAGAGAACTCAAAAGGGAAGTTCTGAATTATTTCAGTGTTAGGTTCAACATCAATAACATGATTTAGATAGAACAGTTTCCATCCATTTCCCCCTGTTTGATTGTTAACTTCCAGATTTTGAAGTTTGTAGTAGATCAGGTTGATAACATTGAGACTTGGGGAGATAGGGAGAAGAGGGGGATTGTCAGGTTGTGTGATGTGATGGATAGCTTGGTGGATGCAGTCAATAGAAAAGCAGATTTAAATCCCTAATAATGCATGGAAGCTACTACCATAATTTTGACAAATTCCCAGCCCATCATCTCTTTTTTCACTTCTTTTCAGTATAAAGATGTTCCCCACGTTGGCAGGGATGGACTTTTGTCCTGCCCTCCAAAGGAGAAGATAGTCAAAAATTGTTGCCTGACACATCTCAAAAACTAGGCCAACAAAGTCTTGTCTTATAAGAGTGGGGGGCACCATTTATGCTGTTATTGTACGGAATGAGAAACGGAGAAGATGATTCTTCCCTTTATTGCTGTCTTTCTCCCCAACCCCAAGTATAGAGTCTTAGCTACCTTTCATTATGGTGATCTCTGCCTTTACCTGCAATTGGAGAGTGCTGCTTACTGCTGCCCATATGTAGCCTTGAAGGACAGAAGAAAGGACCATTACCAAAGTAATTAAGATAAAGATAAAAGAGGTAGGAAGGGAAGGACGCTGCAACTTGAAAATATTGATATCAGCCCTATAAAATAGATCAGACTAAGAAACAGACACTGTGCAGACCTAAAGCTAATTTTATTAAAACAGCTATAGTAACTTAATCTTGCAAGTCTTCCTTGTTCTTGACTCTTCCATTGGTGTCTTAGTAACAGATCTTCCTCTGTCATTTAAAGTCATGTTGTATACTCACTACATCATGAGAGCAATCAGAAAACAGAGGCAAGGGTAGGAGTCATGATGGCACAGTGGTTAGAAGACAGTATAGCAGGCTAATGCAGCTCACTGCCATGAGTTTGATCCTCACCTTGTTGACTCAGCCTTCCATCCTTCCAAGATCAGTAAAATGAGGACCCAAATTGTTGAGGGCAATATGCTGACTCTGTAAACCACTTAGAGAGAGATGTAAAGCACTATGAAGCGGTATATAAGTCTAAGTGCTATTGCTATTGTCCTGATGGGAGGGAGCAAGAGATCCATGCTGAGGCAGGGAAGAGAGAAAAAAGCAGGCAGGTAGGGTTTCCCTTTCTGCTCCTCTCTCCCCTAATAGCAAGAGTAGACAATTGAAATAGCCAAGACTACCAATAGCAAATTTGGGTGAGTCTGTGTTATCCTAAGCAGTTAAAAGGTAAATGATCCCAGAACTACAGAACCACATGGCTGGATGGAAGAGGATGCTGCTCCAGCAAGCCAATTAGAGCCCTGCAGATCATTGCCATAGTGTACTTGAGGATCCACCCTCCATGGAAAACACCAAGTTACATACAGGAGGTTTGTTCTGTTTTCCATAAGAAAATCTTATTTTTTTCCAAATGACTGTATCTCAGGCTAGCCCTAAGATGAAGGTATTATGCCAATAATTGGTAAATAATTGGCAAACAGGCTATCTCAAAGCTGAGAAAAGGAAGGTGAGTGGTTGAGTTCAGTGTAAGGTTGTGTGAATGAGCTCCAGTCCACTTGGATGGAACACATCATTTTGTGGAGAAAAAATGCTCTTCTTTAACATAGCACTTTGCTTCAAGAAGATGGGTTCAGTCAGATCCGTATCTTCTGTTCAGTAAGAGGGCTACTATGCTCTAATATGTAGAATTGTGCTGCTTCCTTTTGAAGGGGAACTTTGATCAAAGTGCTGATGAATCAAAGTGCCTTTTTGTAACTCTGTAGGATCCTGTAAAGTACATCTATGAGAACCATCTCAGATGTCTTGAGGAAATGGTTGGACAAAAACAAGGCAATATTTTTCTCTCCTTAAAAAAGGGACAGCAGCATTTAAATGAACCAGAAGCATAAAGAACATTTTCAAAAGTGTACCCCTGAAATATCAGTTAATTTAAAATTTTCAATCTCTGTGTTTTCAGATGTATTATTTTCATTTTGAAAGAAACAAGAAAATTGTTTTCAGTTGCTGTGTGTAATATCTGTATTTATATCTCTCTAACTCCAACCATATATTCATACTATGAGTAGCCCACTCATATTGTATAAGCAATGACTAAGGTTTTTTTTAACTATAACATCAGATATTGGCTTTTCCAACTGTCACCAGATTTCTCCAAATTGTTCCCTTCCCTGAAACACTGAATAATGAATCATAACTTCATTTTACCTTTCTCTGCTACCTATTGATCCTGAATGATTTCCATTTTTGCTTCCTTGTGACTTGGACTCCAGCTGCCTATGGAATCTGGTTTAATCATATTGTAGAACATTTTATTCTGATGAAGCAAATTTGTTCTTCTATAAAAGTAAAGCTTGTTGATGGGCAGGATTGAGTTAACGATGGCTAAACGCCTACATCAGTTTTCAAGGAAGTGTAGATTGGTAGCCTTTCCAAATCTGGCACATATACACGTACACACATGTGAGTTGGGATTACAATGCCTAAAATCCCAAGCTAGTGTGACCAGGAGTTCTGGGAGGTGCAGTTCTTGGACATCTGAAGAGAGCCCAGTTGGGGAATGTTAGACTGTGGTTTCCAAAGACTCTTAGAATTCTCTAATAATCCAGCAATATAACTTCTTCCTCCTTATCCAAGCATCCTCAAAAGTATCCAGTTCTTAAGCATCATAAGCTAGAAGCCAGGATAGGTACATTGGTTCTCTGTTGATAGTTATCAATTTCTATAATTCCTTGTCATTATTTATGGGATCAGATTGCCTAGCCTTGACTTCCTTGATTAAAAAAAAAAGTCTTGTTCACATCTTCCCCCTTCCTTCTTACACATTTATATAACTGGTATTACTGAGAAGGACTGGTGTGTAATTCTTCCTAGCCCCTTCCATAGGTGTTGCAAAATAAGATTCTAGTCTTTTCTCTTTTCTAGGTGAGTTTAGAAGAAGCAAGCTAATTACAACATAAACTGGGGAAAGCATGCCCTGAAGAATTAATGTGGTACATCTTTTTTCCTATCAATTCTCATTCGATTTAATGAGAAAGAAATCGCTTTGGAATTGCTTTCAAGGTGAAGAGACTATCTGTGAAATTCTTATACTCAGAGTGTGGTATTCCT